TACCAAGGCTAGTAGTTTCAGGACCATTTTTCTATAAGAAACCACTTTAGGTGAAAAGTCGAGAAATGTTGATCTTCAAGTATCTCAGAAGCATTTGTCCTAGAAAAACAAAGTTATTACATATGCAAGGAGAAAAAATAATCACCTGGATATCCAGGTCTGACAGAACACCTTGAGAGGCTGTGTAATCCAACCCTAGATCACAACTATTGTCTGTGTTTTCTCATGTAATGGGTAGGGAAACTGAGGCATGGTATGATTACAAGTTTTCCCTGGAGGCTCACAGCAAGAGACACTGACATGAGCCTCACACCTCTGTCTTAACCTCCATCTAATTCTGTCCAGGAGTCAATCTGAAGTAAGACTGTGTTATGACACTCTTCCTTAGTGAACCCTGAGATGTGCCAGGAGAGTGTGCGCAGTTAATTACTGAATCTCAGTTTAAACTTCTCCAGATATATCTTCTGAGTGAGGTGCAGGAGCACTCCGGATTAGGAGCCCTGATGAATGGAAATGCAGTCCCTTGCTCAGTGAGTGAAATAAAGTGGACACCAGCTCACCTCTCCACTAAAACCTTGATGAGGAAGAATAAAAAGCAACCTCAAGATTAATTAACTAAGCTTCCAACTGTGAAATACTGCACACTTAATATTTTGGTAACATTGTGACCCTCCTGCAGAGGAGAGGAATAGCTTATGACCTTACTTTCCCCACTATTCCTGATTTATACCATCTGAGATTAGAGGCCTTAGAGGTTCATCATAAAAGTGCTGACTTGTGGGGCTGTGATAAATATTGCATGAGATATACATACATGCAGAAATCTTTTATGGAAAATGAATCACTGCTAACTTAATGCTGTGGGATGCTTTACTATTTTGTAAGTACTAAATGATTCATTAAAAAAGCTTATTTACTCTGAACTTTGACCCAAACTCTTGGCAGAGATGAAGGAGCAGCAGAACTTCACTTTGAACCCGAGCGTTTTCGGGGTAGGGAACAGGCAGAGATCAGCTTTCTGGTCTTTTTTCCTGTTCATTTTTATTTCCCATAAACTTTCTCTGGAGTTCCCAACCTAAAGAAGGGCTCATGTACCACTTAGAACCATAATTTCTAATGCTGGACCTCAGACACTCCAGCCACACTTTTCATTTTCCCTTAGTTGCAAATCTTTGCTTTTCTTGGTACTTTTTTCTTGCCCCAGGCTTAGACCGAGCCTTAGGCGATATTCATCCGAGTGAATGCAGAGGCATGATTCATCTCAGCAAAGGCAAGCATCTACTTTGACATGTGTGACACTCTAAACTTGCTGCCTGTATGACAAGCCTTTCTTCATCTAGAAGGGGAACACAGAGATAAGCCTTCACCTTTTGTAGCCATCACTAGCAAGTAGTGCTCAGGTGAAGTCACTTTTAGTTGGGCCACCTCGCATCTGAGCTTCCCATCTAATCAATGAAGAGAAACAGGTCTTTTGGGGAAGATTTCTCTCACCCTAAAATAGGGCAGAGAAGCTGTGAAAGCTATGATCTACATGCACCTGCTTCTCTTCACGATCTGTGAAATATGCCAAGGCAATTTGTTCAGTTACAGACATTTATAGATAGATGAGGTGATCTCATCCATTAGCACCAGGTTCAGCCATATGGATCATGCAAGATGCCCTAGGGCATCGTGGCTGCCCCCAGCAGCCCCCTCTGGAAGGCGCCGATCCTGTGCCGTATCAGCCAGTCCTACAGATGTCTCAAGGCCCTTGGACATCTCCAGTAGCACCTGACATCTACATATGGGTAAGTGAATTAAGTCCGTGGTGTAATTTATTTGTATTCCTCCCCACATCTTGCAGGGCTTCTATTTGAAATAGGAAAATAGTCCCTCTTGTCAACATTTTAAGAAAGAACCTATTTTTACAAGAGTGTGTTGCAAATATGGGAAATTAAAGTCAAAGCTGAACTTCTGAACCGTGGTCTCCAAAAATAAGGCTTCCTTTTTCCTTTTACTTGCAAGCAGATCAGCAGCTCATGCAATCCAGTTGCAGACATTTAGGCTAGAAGGGTTTTGGCTGTTTGTTGCTGACTGGGATTGTGATTGTGCAGATCACAGACATTTTCAGCATCCTGTGGACCACAGCTGACCTTCATGTGTTTGTTTCTTTCCTTGGCTGACTGTTTACTTGCTTTTCACAGTTTGATTTCCTTGGGAAGTGTGGAAACTTTCTCCCTCTTTTACTACTGCCCCAGCAAGCAACATCTGATGAGCTGTGTGCATCTGCCAGCTGTAGCTGCTGGCACAGATCTCTGCTGTGCAGGTGTCTTCACTACTCTTTCATGTAACAGCTGAACACCTGTGTGGCATTAAGACATTCAAGGATTTATGGAAAGCAGGACTGTAATTGTATGGAAAATGACTCTGGTTTCAGACTTCTTTTAAATTTTTGATAGATGTTGAAACAGAGATTGGGTGCCTCATGTAGAGTTTGTTTTTCAGAAAGGCTTTTCTTTTGTTCCAGAGCACTCTTACTAGCAAACTGTTTGCATAACTAGAACAGGAATTTGTGACTGCATGAGATCAGGAAACACATAGACCAGTAGGATGAACAGAGGGGATGGAATTTCTTGTATCCTTTTATAAAATGATCAGTATGTATCACAATTTAGACTTGATTCTCCATACTGAGTGTAACTTGACCACAGAAAACCTGTAACAGATCAGAATGCACTGATGTCCTCTTACTTGATGCTGGAGAAACAAATTTTAAAGATAACAATCAAGCCAGCTAATTGTGAGATAAAAATACAGAAAACCCACACTGCATTTTAGCAGTGCTGGAAACTTTCTATTCCTTTTGTTATGTCTTCCATTTTCCTGACAATATCTGTATTTTTGAATTCTCTTAATATGTAACTGCATAGAAAAACTCATACATTATCTTGATTTAAAAGAAAAGTAACCTTGTAAACATTTTGCTGGAGGTTTTAAATGTTAATGAGCCAGAGTGAAGTTCTTGCTGTGGGCAACCCACGCATCTTTGAAAAGTGTAAACAGCAAGAAGGAAGGGGAATTATTATAGAGGATGGCAAGGTGGTATAATTATTTGTACCTGGCTGGAATTGCTGAAGGGAAGATGTAGGCGGTTTACAGGGGAATGACTGTGAGCACTGGCATGATGAAGCTGAGGAGCAGCACCCTGGTTTGCTTGGACTAGTGATGCAATGGACACACAGGTCCCTGTTAAAGGACAAGAAATTGTTAAGGAAGAATTGTGCAGCAACAAATCACTGTGTTTATAGCGTAGGTCTATACATCTTCCCTTCTTTGTTTGGTCCATCTCTACCATGTGATGTGTCTGACAACCTGGAAAAAGGGGACTGAGGAGCTGGTGAACACCACTGAAAGAGTTGATTTCACCAACTGTTTTCTGCCTCACTCCAAAATATTCTGAAGAACAAGGGCAACTGTTCATTTTTGCTCCTGAGATTAAAACAGAACTACTGTTGCATGTACAGTGCAAACAATGTCCATTGGCTGTCCAGTAAATTCAGCAATTCTAGAAAACCTGAGATTTACTTAACAGATTCACCGTGTTGTCCATACACCAGAGATCTAAGCTACCCATTAGAGGAGAAGGTATAGCTCAGAGCCCTTTCATACCAATACAACTTGACAAACAACCCTTCCCAGACAAAGGAGTGAAGCATCACTGGTCAACACTAGAATTTGTTTAAAGAAAGTCATTGTTCCTTGAGATGTTTTGCTGTCTTGAGGAGAAAAGAAATCAAGAAGACATAAGAACTTCGTGTAAAATTGTTAAATAAAGAGAAATTTTAATGGCTATTACTAGAGTAAAACAAGTGGTTGTGGTCATACAAAGTTATAAAATACTACAAAGGAAATACTGAATCTGAAGTCAGAGTGCACTGGAATCTAGCTGCTAATGTAGCTCTAAAAGAAACTAAAGCTGTTACAGAAGTGATTTCCCACTTAGTAAAGTCTGTGGGAAGCCAGACTTTTCCTGCATCTTATCAGAACTAACAAAGCCTTTCAGAGAGGGCGTCTTCTCAGGTGATGGGATAATGATAGGATAGGGGACCTGAAATTTTCCTTCCTTCTCTGTCACATTCAAATCATGGACCTGACTAGCAAGCTTAAATTTCTTAGCTAAAACTAAAGAACCACAAAAGCAAAGTGAAAATAACCCTAAGATAAACATGGGAACTGTGGAACCATGTCACAGGTGGTGGGCATGTGCGAAGGCACCTGGTGTTGACAGGAAACAGAAAAGGCCGTGGTAGTACATGCACAGCATCTCTCTCTTTCTTCTTTGGGTTAGCAATGAGTATTTATGCAAAGTGGAGCAATTCCCACAGGAAGCTGGAGAGACTGGGGGAGTGGGGGGTGGAGGAGGTTGGCTGGTGGAGGGGCTTATAGAACAATCTTTTTATGCTGTCGCTCTTTCTCTCTTTGCCTTTCTAATTTTAATCAAATGTTTTGTTTCTGTTGAATTTGGTACAGGCATCCCTTAAAAATGGCTCCATTGTGAATGATTCTCATTTTCCTGCCAAAAGTCATTTTAGTGGGACATGCTGGAAAATCCTTTTGTTTGCTGGCAGTCCCTCCTTGTGGAAGACCAGCTGCTCATTTCTGTTAACAGAGCAGGTCTTGATTCCTCAGGGGAAATACACTGTACCAGCAAAGCCTGCCCAGATGGAAGTGCAAAAACATAGGAAAGCCATTGGGGAAGAAGGCAAAGATTCAAAGGCAAAGATGATTTTTGGCTACAAGAGTGTCTGGCTTTGCTTAGGGAATGATTCATGACCTTGTGACAGCATGTGCAATAAGGCTTCCTCTTGTTAAGAACTTTTTTGGCCACTCTGGGTCCTATCACATCAACCTGTGCTGATTGTTTGGGCTTTTGATCTTTCTCCACCAAGTCAGGTGCTTCTGACTGACACTCAATTCACCCGTTTCTTTAGAAGGGGCTGTGAGAAACACACCTGGACAGACTGGCTTTATGGGGAGAGACAGAGATGGATGATGCCATCTGTCAGGAAATCTGTCAATAATGTACAAAACTGTGAGTACTGCAGACTTATTGGCTGAAGTTTTAGATACAGGCATCATACAGGAACCAAAAAGCCTGTGACACCTAACGAGGTGATTTTCTCACCAGGGGCTATTTCATTACTTTCATGTAGTGTCTGTATTCCTGTCTGCTCTTCACTTTTCTCTTCCCTTCCTCTCTTTAGTCAAAATAACCAGAATTAATTTATTTCCTTTAATGTAGATGTTGCTTGTCTTGGGAAAAACCTATTTCATCTGTCTAGGTAATGAACCCTCCGTTAAGAGCTATGGTATTTTTAGGAATTGCTTGCATATATAATCATGCCTTGCATTGCCAGGTACTTTACAGCACACCAGATTTTCCAACTTTGTCAGACTCTTTATTTCTTTACTGACGAACAGGCATGTATCTCATTCCCAGTGATGATAAGCTTAGCTGCAGGAGATACAAGAGTGGAAATCAGAGCCTAAATGTGGCTTTTTCGGTACCAGCGATCCTATTCTCCATCCTGCTAATGATGGTATAGAGAGGCTCTAGACTTACACAGGGGAATTTGAAGATCAGAAATTCTAGGGAATCTAAAAAGTGTCACAGAAAGTGGCAGCAACTACCCTGCACTTAATTCACTGAATGCTGTACTGCTTTGTTTCTTAGAGGAATTAGCTGAATGAATAAATAGCTGTCTGCCCCTACGAAAATAAAGTCTAATATGCAATTAAACTGAAAGATTTTCCTTCTGAGGGTGTGGGGACCTGTTAAATAAAATTATAGGAGGACCAGATGCAAAAAGTACTGTTGTTTCACATATTTAAAATGAGGATAATTAAAAAAGGGAAACGTATAGAGTCTGTCTTTAAAGGGGAATGCATTTGTAAGCCCCCATGCTAGTATCTGTATCATTAAGGAGAATGTAAGGACTAGTTATGGTATGTGGCAGATAGAAGACTAATTACAGAACACACACTTGAATTTTCCTTAGTATAATAATGAGACTTCATTAAACAGTGGCAGGGAACAGCATGATCAGTGCTGCAATCTTATTATTATTTATTTCTATTACAGTGCTACATGTAGGAATCAAATGAAATGAGAACCCCTATTGTGCTAGGTGCAGCATAAGCACAAATTAGGTGATTGACTCCTGCAGTTTCCCCACTGCTCTCTGTAGCCATTTCCTGTGGGGATTAGAGTCCAGTTCTAATAGCATGGAAGCAGGTAGCTTTTTCACCTGAATTTGTGGGAATTTATTTTCCATTAAGTGTGTCAAAGGTTTGACTGGTGGAGCACGAGCAGATGGGTCATGCAGAGCTGCGGATGGATGTACATGTAAGGGCAGAAGTGGAAGTTTCGTTGGGTAAGCAGGATAGTCGCACAGGTATATAAATTGAATAAATCCCTAGGTGAAGAGGTTGGATTATTGCAAGAATTGCTATTTCAAAAGAAATAAAGGAAACTGATAAATTCAAATTTTCTGGAGCTTCCTATGTGTCCCAGAGACTATGAAATACTGACCGTAGTGATTGCATGGTGTAACTAGTTCCTAATCCTCTCCCATTTGTAGGAATAGGATTTGTCTGACTTCCTGGAAAAGAAAGGGATTCAGATGAACATGACCCATGGACCAGCCAATTCCCAGATGTTGGGCAGGACTCTCAGCAATTTTTCCCCAGGTTTGTCATCTGCTTTTGGAGTACGATGCCATGTTCTCCTTGGTCTGCAGAAAGCCTGGCAGCAGGCTGACTGGTCAACACATATCAGAGTCCCACGGGTTAATGCATGTTTCCAGGTGCAGCCCTGTCCTGTAATCCTTCCACTGTCACCTGTGACATGAGCCAACGTGTAGAATCTCACCCATGGGGTCAGAAAAATATCAAGAATTTTGTCTACAACTGAGACATCTGTCAGGGGGAAAAATTTCTGTTTGGATGGCATTTCCTTCCACTAGAATGTCTTACATCTTTTGTAATCTTACTGATTCGCACCCTGTGATGTAGGTAACACAGGGTAATAAAGAAGAAAGGAAATCAAGACACATCTAGGTCATTTTTGTCATCAGTATTTCTTTTACCAGTGAACATTTGCAGCATTTATTAGACACACATTTTGCTAATGTAGGAGTCTCCAATATCAGAAAAGATCTACAAGCTCAGGATCCTCTTCCCGATACTTACCTGAAGTGGATGCAAAGAAAGAGATTAAGACTAGGATAACCATATCCTGATATTTTCCCAGGATAGGTTCCCAGTTTCCTGAGACTTCTGGCTTAGAAATTTCTGGAGGTAAAGGTGCCTTCTGGATTCTTTTCTTTGTAATGAACATCTGGTTTCTCTTCTGTTATATAATACCTTCAATCAACTGTTGCCTATAAACCTGGTATGTAATCTATTTTTTTCTGTGTTTTTCTTACTTTTCCTGCTGTTTTTATGTTATTCTTTCTATTTTGTTGGAAAAGCTGGCAGTTGCCGAACCTTTCACTATCTCATGCTACTTACGACATCACAGACCTTTTTCATATCAGTTATTTCACTTCCAGCCAAAGAAATGAAGTAGATCCTCAAATGGAGACTATAAGTGTACTTTGGGAGATATAACCCTATGCTGGAATGAACCATGTTTGTTGGGCATGTTATAGATTTCCTTTGGCAGTAATTATATACAAATATCTATATTATATATATGTAATATATGTGTGGTTTTGCTTTTAAAGGTTTGTCTGCAGTAATCAGTTTCTTTGGTCAGAAACCAATATTGGCTTTCCAAAAGTCTTGAGTTGTCAGTGTTGCCCGAAAATGCAGTGCTGTTTGATGGAAATGACTCAGTTGCGTAAATACAGGTGTCTAGTATGAGAAATCCTAGATTAGCCAAGATAACTGCATAGGGTACCAGAAATGAGATGGGAACTAAAGGGTCCTAAACTTTCTGGAGTCTGATCTGGGCTTTCTCAAGGCCAGATCAGATAACCTAGGACATGTCAGGTGATATTTACTGCTTCCTTTTACCAAGTGGTTCTTTACATCACTGAAAGTTAACCCTTCTTTATGAAGGTACCCACATAGGAATTAGGTGCTGGTTTTCAGGCTACTTCAGTTTAAGAACGTTGTCACCATGATTTTCACTTACATACAATGGTAATTTTTATCCTAATCTATATGAATAGAGAGCGAGCTCCAGCTCTGGTGCAAGCAACTGTTTAATGAATCCACATTTGGTTAGCATTACTGTAATTTCTGTGGATGTTCTTGTGTGGCTTTATTTGTATGTTCTAATTAAAAGAACTTAGAAGCTCTTGGATGTCTATGCATTTTTTAATTAGAAAATTCAATAGTTAAGAATTGGGGCATGCAAAGATACGGCCATTTCATCTGCTGTGATCTTCTTATATATCCCAAATTAATTGGTATCAAGACAAATTAGAACTTGGATAAAAATGCCTTTAGGGATTAATCCTGGGTGTATTCGCAGGTCAGGCTAATGATTTAATATGTGTCAGCTGCACAAGACCACTGAGTCATGCATTTGTTCTTGTCATGTGGTGCCAGGCATCTTTGTCCTGGAGATAAACACTCACTAGAGATCCTGTGATGCATTTTCCAAACTAGGAGGTTTTGGTCTGGATGGCCTAGTGCATTTCCAAAGACCTTGTATCCTCTGGAGTTAGTCATACCTGTGTCAGTGGGGCGTGCACAGGCCAAATCCTCTGGGTCCAAGAGAGCTCTTTGACCTGAAATGAATACACAACCATCCAGTCTAGCTGTGTTCTACAAGTTGCTTCACAGAGGCCATACTCAATTCCCTACAAATAAATAATCAGATAAAATGATTGGATTCTTGAGAATGGTGCTTTTAAATAGCACACATATGCTGTCCTTTTCTTACAGAAGACACTGTGCCCAATTTTAGCAGCTGTAGGCATGAGAATATACTTACAGCAGTCGTTTGGACGCTTTAATTTTTCTGTTGCTGTGGATGAGTGAACTTTGTGAACAGTTCTCTCAAATGCTACTGTTTAGCTGGAAAGAACAAAGATGTGGACAAATGACTTGACTGGTTGAGTACTCATTTGCTCCTGGAAAAGTAAAAAGGGGGCACAGGGCTGGGGACTCCCACAGGTTCCCAGCCTTTTTAGTTTCTCTAAAAATCCCTTCGTTTTTTCCTGTGAAAAGGAAACACACTAATAAATATCATGAAAGACAGCATAACTCCACAGCAGTTTTCCTACAGAGAGCTGATATGAAAGTTTTCACCTTTCCTCTTGTGCTACTTCTGAAAACAAGGTCAAAACATCTGTTGGTTTTGGTGAAGCCAAGATTATCACCTGCATTCTCCTGACAGTGATTCTGTGCAGCACAAATAAGAATTTATGCAAGAATAATGTCTTGGCACTATACTATTTGTATGTATGCAGTGCTAAATGAATAAGAAGTTCTATGTACATGATTATAACATGTCAGCACTTAAGAACTGATAGAAATAAGTGACCCCTTACTCACAGACACCGTGCAGATGCAAAGGCTTGAACATGCAAAAAAAGTGGTGTGCCTCTTTTCCCATAAAGAGAGAAGGCTCAGAGTAAAGTCCGTGAATGCAAATGTTGCATCATGATTGCTCCTGCTCTATCTGTTATAGAGCAGTGGAGTTATGTGGAGGAGAACTTGATTGCAGATATTATTTACTGTCGGATCCTTTTCCCTGGTATAATTTGGCTCAGCATATTCTTATGAGTTCTGCCTTGGGTCAGCTCTTCATGCCATTAAATAAACTGTAATTCCAAGTAACCTCCCCCTTCTCTCATGCAAATACATGTAAAAATGGCAACTGAAATTTATCAGAAATTCATAATCAGGTTCTTGGCTAATACCACCAGTTTGCACCAGCTGAGAATCTGATCCTAACTGCTTTTTTTTTTTTTTTTTGTCACCTAGATTTGATTAGAAATCCCTTTCTTAAAGCCTCTGTAAACATGTGTTCTTTAATTCTATTTTAAATTCTCAGTGGAATAAGAATGTGTCTAA